AAAAAAAAACACTAAAAGACGTAGCAAGGAGAATCAGGCAGCAATCGATGTACGATGGTTTTTCTGCTCTGTTATAATTTAGTTGGCAAGCAGCTCGTTTTTCTATTAATTAAAGCTGTTCGGCTACTGCTGCTTCTGGCTTCTGGCTTGGATCGGCAGTGGCGACTGTCGCCGACTGAAATATTCTCACATAATTATTTACGATTTGACATAATCATCATCTTCAGCGACAGTGTCGTCAGTCTCGTCCATTTTGGACTGTGGTCCCATAACAGTAACTGCTGGCTGCTCTGCTGCCTCAGCGATCCGGGAATCTTGAAATCATTAGGCTGCGAGGGCAATAAATCGCTCAAGAAGCCAAAGAAAACTTCAATTTTCTGTACATTTCACACGGAATGCAAGGAATTAATTTACCTTGAATTTACCCCATTCCCCTGTGCGCATCTTTTCTGTCTTTCCTTTTTATTTTTTTTGTTTTTTGCTAAAAATCGAAAGTGATAAAACCGAAAAAATTAAATGAGAAAAGATTAAAATGATCCTGGCAATCCTTGTCGAGGTCTGTGGGCATGCGTGACGCATTTCTAACGAGTTTACCGACTCGCATCGCATCGGATCGGATCAGATCCTTCGGAACCAAAGGGTTGAATCAGCATATCTCACTCTTCCTCTCTCCCTCACTCTCTTTCTGTTATGCAGATGAGACGAGTTCCCCTACCCCTTACCTTCACTGCCCTTGCCTCAGCCTTTTTCTGTGCTTTTTTTTCCTTTCCGTTCGCTCGTTCTCTCCTGTCCTCTTGCTTTGCCTAAAAAGGGTTAGCTTAGGGTCCAGACGTCCGTCGAGTTTTTTTTTTAAGGTAAAAAAAAGCGAATTTAATTAAACATTTTTTTCTTATAGGCTCAGAACATTGTGAGAACGGCCCCGGCCAGAACTTAATAAATATCATTTTTTTTGTTGCCTCCTGTTTTTTGTTGTTGTTGAAACTGTTTTCAAGCCTTTCCCTTTCTGCTCTTCCTTGTGCGTCTTTGCAGTGATCACCACATCGCGGCCGGGCAACGAGGCGGAGGTGCAGCTGTACCGAGTGCTCCAGCGGGCCAGTCTGCTGGCCTACTACGACACGCTCCTCGAGATGGGCGGCGACGATGTGCAGCAGCTGTACGACGCCGGCGAGGAGGAGTTCCTCGAAATCATGGCTTTAGTGGGCATGGCATCCAAGCCGCTGCATGTGCGTCGCCTGCAAAAGGCCCTGCACGAGTGGGCCAACAATCCTGCTCTCTTCCAGGCTGTCCCCATGCCGCAGCTGGGTAAGCCTGATCCCAGTCAGCTTCTGGTATCCATGTCTAAACGCGTGATGATGCTTCCAGGTCTGTGTGACACGCCACCCAAGCCAGCGCTTGTCTTCAATCCGGACACCACGCCTGCCCTGCCACGACAGAAATTTCCCTCCTTTAATGCGACAGGCTCCTTCCAGCCCTCGCCAGCCCCTGTGCCGGCCTCAGGCCCGGTTGTGTCCGCTGCGACGGCAACAGCGACGGCGGCCACGACTGTCCCCCACCTCATATCCCAAATTAGTTGCACCTCGGTGCCCGTCCTGCCCTCCATTGTCCCGCCCTCCACAACACCCCTGACCAGCAATCCCAATACCCAGACACATGCCAATGCCAATCCCAGCAGCATGCCGGGATCAGCGGCCTGTGTCTCGGTCAGCACTGCCCACCAGGTGTCCTCCAGCTCGCCCCAGCTGACGCCAGTCCTCACCGAGATGCAGATCCAGCGCATCACCATGTGCGCGGAGAAGATCGGCCGCCAGCTGCCGCAGCGGGAGCCACGCGCCCAGACCACCCGAAAGCGCACCACCCGCGAGCTGGAGCAGGTGATAGCCATGAGTGAGCACGATCCACGGCGCATGGACGAGATCCGTAAGTACTCCGCCATCTATGGCCGCTTCGACTGCAAGCGCCGCCCGGAGAAACCTCTCACGCTGCACGAGGTGTGCGTCAACGAGGCGGCGGCCCAGCTCTGCCGCAATCCTCAGACCATCTGGCTGCTCACCCGACGCGACGAGCTCTTTCCGCTGGCCCGACAAATAGTCAAGGATGCTGGCTTTGGCCACTCCGCAAGCATAGCCCGCTACGGCGGACTGCTGACCCAACTGCCAGGTGCCCAGGGTGCTGGTGGAGCGCGTGGCTCAGGCTCCGGCTCCGTCTCAGGCTGTGTGCCCAGCGATGTTGACTGCGAGTCGAGCGATGCTTCGGTGCAGCTCAAGCGGCAGCGTCTCTCCTCCACGGAGGCGGCACAGCTGCCCATGGACCTGAACAGGGTAAGGAAGATTAAATCCGTAGAGCCGTAAGTGCATAAGTGCGTCCACCTGGTGCAGTGCTTCAGCTTCCCAGCTTGGGGTTTGGGTGGGAAATAACCAAAACTTTGCTTTGCAGCTTTCGCGATTCGCAGAACACAAAATACTAACACTAACAATTAACCAGGAAGTTCTTTTAAGAATATGTTGGATACCATTTGGGATCGTTTTTCAGCTTAAATGAGTTCCCTTCCTGCTTGTATATAGAATTTGCAATTTGTAGAATTATTAGAAAGTAATCAGTATTATTTTACCCTGGACTGTTTTGGTTTGGGTTAGTCTTTGATTCTCACTAAACACTCTCCTTTAAACTTGACTCTAACCCGCTAATATTAGTTACTTTAGCCGCAAGTTATTTAGTCGGTAGTTCGTTGCAATATATATTGATTGTTGTACCTCCTCCTCTCTGTTGAACGTCAATAAATGAATCCTACGAAATCTCCAACCAACGATCCACATGTCTATTCCTTCTATTGCTACACGCAAGAGTTCCACAAAAACTCTTTCGTTGCCATACGCTTAGCTTCAAGCTTCATTCGTAGTAAGATTTTTTGTAGCATCTGCAGAGATTTTAATCCATGATCTCATTGATAACCCACATAAACAAAAGGAAGCGGTGGAGGACTCGCGCTACAATCTCTTTGCCATGTACCAGAAATTCGCCAAGCCGCCATTCGACCTCACGGAGATTGCCAAGTTCTCGTAAGTATGAGAGTGAAATCCTTTTAAACAGTCCCTAAAAGTAATCCTTATCCTTTCCAGACTGGGCAAGACGGCCGACTTTGAGGATAACGATTCGCGGTTCTCCTTCAGCAACTCGTCCAGCTCCCCGCCAATGCCAGTGAGTATGTGTTGGAGAGCAGTCCACTTTGGAGGTAGACACCGAGTAAAGAACACATTTGCCCTCCCATCCTCTCCACCACAGGCGACCTGCAATGGTCTGGACGGTGAGCGGTCGCCCGTCTCCCGCCAGATGGATGCCTCTTCCCTGCCCTGCGAATCTGTCGATCTAAGTGGCTCGGTCTCCGCGCCCTCTACACTGAGTGGTGTCCAGGTCATCTCAGCTGCGGGGGACAACATCATAGCCGTGGCGAATCCCGCCCTGGCCCTGAGTCCTACGCTGAATGAAGTTCGGGCCCTGAAGAGGAATGCGGCTGCCGCCTCCCCGGAAGCCTAGCTGAAGACAGTTGAGATGGCCAATGTAGTGCCAGATTTAGATATATAAATTGTTATAATTCAAGTGCAATTCCATTAGTTTAGAATCGTCCAAGAGGAAACTTTGCTTAGGATGTCTTTTAAGTGAATGATTAGATTGTAATCTCTGTGATCTATACTAAAATATACTTAGTAATGTAATAAATGCATCGTTTAGTAATACATAAACTACAATAAAAATCTAGTAAAGTTTAACAAGAATAGGAAGCAAAGCCTTCAAGTGATAAACTCCTTACGAAACTCTACTCTAAAATTCGTAGACTCCAATCACCATCGCCATCATGGAGCAGTCTAGAATTGAATTGCGATAAAAGACAATTGCCCTCATTGATCATTGCAAATTGAGAGATCATCGCTATCATAGATCACAATTGATATTGACGGATCGTGTTTACATTTGAGATTGTGGGCAAAATCCCTTTGTGCAGCTCTTGACACCGCAAAAGGCAAATGCGAACCCATGCGAACCCTTGCGAATATCTTGTCGGGTCTCTGGGAATCTGGCTAATGATGATATTAACACCCTTGTGGCATAAGGTGGGGTGGGATGTTCGAAAAGCGGTTTAGGTATGCAAATTTTGCAAATAAAAAAACAACAAGAGAAGGAAGGAAACTCCTTGGCATGCAAATTTGGTTATTGATGATGATGATGATGATGATCAGATCAGATCAGAGGGATCAGTGTGTCACTTTTGCTTTACTTTCGCTGTTGTGACTGAAACTTAATTTTAAAGAGATGAATGTGAACAGGGGAAAGCCAGTTTAATGAACTCTCCTCGCTTAAGCACTAAATCATCTGCCAGATGTGATTGGAATCACAATGTGGATGCAACACACAAAAGACCGACCGAGCACCCCATGCCATGTGGCCACAAATGCGCGGGAGGCGTTCTGACTTCTAAAGGATTCGTCTTGCATTGTGTCTGGCATTTGATTTTTGTTCATCTGCTCCCGGCTCAGGTTGGGGCTGGGGTTGTTCTTATTGTCCAACCCTTTTGTTCATCGAGAGTTGGAGATGGCGCCCGAGCGATAGAAGGGAACCTTGAAGACATCTCTGAGCCTGCGATCAGCTATGCAAATCAGCGCTTGTGGCTTCTCTCAATGCAATTACAATGCAGTTCATGTCCAGGCATCCTCTCGCATTTACATAACCCTCTGCTAAGGGTGGCCCAAGACACGAAGATCATTACCAGCATGATTGATGAAGCGTCTTGCCCTCGATTTGCATAAGCATGAGGATCAGCCCAAGGCACAACCAGGGCACCAGGGCACAACCCTCAAAGGTAACGTCTCTGCGTTCAGGCACATGGCCCGAGGATTAGACATCGCCGCGGTGTCATGAGAACAAAGGCCAAGACAAAGGGCCAGTGTCAATATTTGCACTAGATTCCAGAGACCCAGAAGCCAGAAATTCTACAAGATGCGAGAGTCTTACGCTTACACAGAGTCTGACAAGAATTTTAGTTCGAGTTGGGGGAGGACAGAGCTTAAAACATAGCTCGAAAATAGATTGGATAAAGGTGGAGTGATGGCATATTTTACGTCGTCTCTTGGACTCGCTCGATGATCCAGTCCATAAAGTGCTGGGTGCTAGTGTACACACCAGGCACCTCCGGCCTCGCACACCCAATGCCGTACGAGACCACGCCGATCAGGTAGAATCTCACGCTGCTCTGGTACTGCTCGGGTATCATCAGTGGGCCACCGGAGTCGCCCTGACAGGTATCCTTGCCGCCCGTGAGGACGCCCGCACACACGACTGCAGAGTCGAACTGATCGTTGGTGAAGTAGCGATTCTGCTTGGCGTAGCTCTCGCGGCACTGCTCGTTGTCGAAGATGGGGATCTGCAGCTCGTTCAGCACGGTGGCCGACTCACCGCCCTCCTGGGTCTTGCCCCAGCCGGCCACAAATGGCATGTAGCCCACATACGACTTGCCACGCAGCTGTGGCGTTTGGGGCAGGCAGATGGGAGTGATCTTGTCCGTGAACTGTGCGTTCTGCTTCAAATACAGAATGGCAATGTCGCTACGCCCATTTCGGGTATTGTACTCCGCATGGGACACATACTGAAAGCAGAAATTACTCAAAATAGAAGAGGAATACAAATTGGGGATAGATATTGAACATACCCGGGCCACATCAATGTCCACATGGCGTGTCTCCGTGTCCGTGGAGAGATCATGTTCCCCCAGTCGCACAAATATTCTGCAATACATTTAAAGTTTTGGGTCAGAGATCCGCAGGGAGATGGAAAGTTTCTTCACTTACAGATCCGAGCGGATGCAGTGGGCAGCTGTGAGAACATGTCTGGCGGTGATCAGAGTGCCGCCGCACTTGAATGGCGACGAGGAGGGATCATCGTAGCCCAAGAGTGCAATCCAGGGCCAGGCACCCTTTCGGCTCACCTCACCGCCAACGATCTTCTTGAAGGTGTTCAGCGTGTAGCCACATCCTTCTTCCACATTAGGCAGACGTCGAGGTATATCCTCCATGTCGACCGGGGAAGGCGGAGTGACCACCGTTGTCGTCTGGCCATTGGGGCAGCAGACGGTGGAGCCAAGGTTGCCGCAGATGCGCTGCGAGGCCTGCAGGAATCTCACGAAGGTTTCATCCCTCTGTTTGGCAATCAGTTGATCGAGCAGCAAGGGGCAGCTCTTGATATCTGTTGCGGGAATGCAGAATGCGGTTATAGGATGCGGAAAATAATCCACGGATCTACTCACCGATGCAATTGCCAGGCTTGGTGTCCGGTCCACGGCAAGTGGGTCCACGGACATCCAACAGCGGTGCTGACGTAACCGGAGCACGTGTTGTCGTTGTCGTTGTCGTCGTCGTCGTCGTTGTGGGCGGTGATGGCCGTTCCGTGACTAGGAAGGGGTTGCGATCGGTTACAAACGGTCGCTCTGTGGGAAAGAAGGGATTGGGGCGTGGCCGCTCTGTGGTCTGTTGATTATTCTGCTGCGGAGCAGTACAGCAAATCTGCCGAAGGGGAGAAGAAAGAGAAGCCAAAAGCTCAGCACAGGCGCAAAAGAAATGAAATGAGGAGAAAGAGTGTGCTGCCTACCACCGGGTCCCCATTGATGCTGCGTGTGCCACAGCTGCGTTGCAAAGCGATCACATAGCGCTCAGCGCGCTGCTTATTTGTGCTCTGGAAGATGTTCACCACCTGGGGGCAGAAGGTAAGCGTCACGCAGCTGCCATAGTAGTTCTCTGGAGTGATGCAGTTCTGACGAACTAGAAGGGAGATAGATTGCCACAACAGAAAGGTTCCACATTAGAAAACGAAGATCAAGGATCGGAAGCCAAGTTGTGTGGCTCTAGAGCTCGAGTTAAGCTCTAGAAAAAGTTAGCATTGGATGGTCTTATGTAAGGTAAAAGATGAGCCAACCCATTGAAAAGGTTAACATTTCCTTGTTTTAAAGTTAATAAACAGTTGGATGTTCTGCTCTCAACAATTCCAGCAACGAGCCTAAGAATCTTAATCCAAAAATACTATTTGGAAAAGTGGGAAAAGCCTTTAATTCGATTTACTAATTGCGTTGTTCTGTGCACTTGTATACTTGCACAGATATTGTAATAAAAACTTTGACACTTAAAACTCAACACACACAAAAACCCCACTCATAAGTAAACGAAGATAAAAACAACGAGGCAGCTCTAAGGAAACGCCTAACCATCAGTCCACGTCCACATCTGAGTACGACCTTGGCGACTGGTTTCATTGAATTGAACTGGAATTGAACTTGAACACGATGAGCGATACACGATATACATATAATATATAGCTTAAGACACCATTTTGCGCACTTCATACAAATTGGCCTATTAACCGGTGCGACAGGTGGGAATGGTACGAAAGACTTGAGCAACGAACTTGCCATGAACTTGTCTTCGACCGTTCATATGTGCGGTTCACCCTTGCGCGTCCCTTGTGCTTAATGTTATTGTTCGATAGCCAAATCAATATTTGAACCAATTTAGGTATTCCCATTAAAAATTCGACGAAATTCGCTGAACATTTTACGAGCTTTGATTAGTTTAAGTTTGGATTGTGATGCTGATTTTCGTTGCTGTTAATGGAACTGGTTTTTGGATGGCGCGTATTAGTTGTTTGCTCACATCACATTGTAAAAAGTTCTACAGATATGATAGATAGAATAGATATAGATATAGCTAGTGGCCAGGTCTAAAAGCTTTCTACTAATTAAGTACGAGTACGAGTAACTACCTTGCCTGCGCTGGTTGTTAAACTGAGCGAAGGCGGACTGCCCGCCGAGCAGGAGGAGGCAGAGGAGCGTAATCACAGCACTGGCACCAGGCACCGACTTCATGATATTCACTGTTCACTGTCCGACGACCGTTATCAGACTGAAATTTGAATCGAAATCGCAACTAAAACCGACTTCGGGCGAATCTTCGAAGCTTCTTCGTTTAATAATAAATTGTTTTTGTTAATTTTTGTGGCTTTGCGTGACCAAAGCATCGGCTCGCATCGCTTGGCGTCTTCGTGTGGGCTGAGAGCTCGGCCTCTTGAGCTGAGCTTTATATGCACTCCGCTCAATCTCTCTCCCAGTTCGATTTCTCACTGCGTCGGGTCGCGTATTGTCGCGTCGCGTCGCGTCGCGCTGCGTCGCTCTCTTGCAAGCTCTCCCTAACGGAATAGCGGTGCGAATGCGAAACGAGATCATTTTGTTTGGGATTCACTTTAATTTTGATGCGAAAAAAACACAAATTGCGTCGCTCTCTAAGTATATTAATCAAGCCGGAAAAATCACCAAATTCTGCCGTTGGCGGGAAACGCGGTTTTCCCAGACCCATACTTAAAACCATATTTATTTCCAGCACAATAACATTCGCCAAATGTGGCGAATATGTATTAATATTAGTTTGCAAACCTAAAATTAGACGAAAAGAGAATTGAAATGGATGGGGAAATATTCAACGGATGAGTCAAAAGAAGGCAAATGATAGTCGTAAGAGTAATTTTTATCAATTGATTTTTGCCAAGAGCGTGTGTGCGTTGTGTGTGTGTTGTGTGTGTGTGTGTGTGTGTGTGTGTGAGGTCACTTTGTTTGTCTGCCGTTTTGGCGCCTTGCTCCGCATTTGTCATTGGTCCAGTCCCAAGAATTGTGTGACTCAATTAGGCGAATGAAACAAGCATTTAAAATGCCATTAATCAAGGGAAATTAAAACGGATCCAGTTGACATGTCAATTGGGAATCACTTAGCAAACTATTAGAAATACCTCCTATCCAAGCCACTGGCCTCTGGCTACGGTCTGCTGCAGAGCAGCCACTGCCTCTCTCAGTTCTCTGTTCGTATCAAGCTTAACATTGACATTGCATTTGTATGCACGCGTCGTAAAAGCTCTCCCCTGATTGAGAGATTACAGCTACTATCACAATAAGTGGAGGAGTGAGGGAAGTGAAGGGTGTTAGCCAAGTGACGGCATCGTTTGATTTTGCACTTGAACTAAGCAATAGATCGCCCTATGGGAAATGGTGCTTGGCATGCCCGATCGACATTGCCAAAAGCGAGAGCTACAGCCGCGAGTCAATTGGCATGCGAACAGTGCAGCCGAGCAGAGTGGCATAATATAAAGCATTCTATTATGAGTAATACCACAGAACGATTGTCAATGCAGCTCAGGTGCCAGCGGGTGGCCCAAGTTCGGGAATTTCCAATCGCAGTCGAAGAACTGCTCTTTTTCGGTTCCGGCTCGACAGATGACAACTCGATTTATACTCGATTTTGGTTTATTCCGCCAATGAATTCTTAAATGGAACGTTGGATATTTTATTGACGGATTCACGTAATAGGCGCAAGACACTTACATAATTATTCTGATATAATCACGCTGTGGCCTTTGAGTCGTAATCTTCATGTAATAGCAGCAATTGGAAAGCGTCAGGATTTATATTTAAAACATTATGCCTACACCTCATGCATTGTTAGATCACTACACACAAAAATAACTAAAACCAAAAGTTTAAAGAGATTGAAATTCAAGAACCTAAACCGAAAGATTAATGACTGCAAACTCGAGTATAGCTCAGTGAATGTAAAAACAATTAAAAACCAATCAAGTGGGAACACTTAAATATACAATTTATTACGGAATTATTCTTGATTTTAAATATAAAATGTTGTGTGTCTCCCTGCAAATATTTCTTTCTGGGATGCTCCTAACCCATTGAGATCTGCTGTCTGATCCATGGAACGTAGGAGGCGACTCTCGTGTAGACACCCGGAAAATTGGGTCGAGCACACTCATAGCCAAACGAGACGAGGCCGAGCAGGTAGAACCTATAGCCGCTGCCCTCCAGCTGCAAGTGGAACGGAAATCGAGAAATAGATAGACCGTTAGAAGTTTTTTTGGCAAATCCCAGCTCGCATTTTCATAAACAAACAAAAACATTGTTGGACACTGATTCAGCAGACGTCTCTGGGTGCGCAGGCAATTAGCGACGACACAGACTGAACCACCTTGGAGCTCGAAAGACCACAGATGTGTCCAAAACAGGTTCAATGACTCACAGACGAAGAGCTGAACATGTGAGATATGTAACTGACCTGCGGCATCATGAGTGGTCCACCGGAGTCCCCCTGGCAGGCATCAACGCTGGAACTGCCAGCACAGATCACCTGAAAAAGGATTAATTAAACGAGTAGTATCCATGCGTGTGCTCTGAGGAGGATTCCCCTGGGGAAAGGTGGCTCACCTTGTCGCTGAATTGGACAAACCGGAAGACAGACTTGTAGCTCTGCTCGCAGCTCTGACGAGCCACAATCGGCACCTGAGCATCGCGCAAAACTTGCGACGTGGGTCCCTGATGCTTGGATGCCCCCCAACCGGCAACGAAGGGATTCATGCCCACAAAATCTTGCTGCAGGAACTTGGCCGCCTCGGGAAGGCAGATGGGAGCTATGTTAGCTGGACAAATCAATGATGATTAGATCAATCCATTTCTAAGTCATTTACTATCCACTCACCAGTGAGCAATGCAGATGTCATTCCACTCAGCTCTATCAGGGCAATGTCATTGGCAATGGACGTCAGATCAAACTGCTCGTGGATAACAGTGCGACGAATGCGAAAGTCCATGGCCCCTGACTCGGTGGGCTTGGACAGATCGTGAGCACCCAGGCGGACCAGTGTGAGCAGCCCGTTGATGCAGTGGGCGGAGGTGATCACGTAGTGGGAGTGGATGAGGCTGCCGCCGCAGAGGAACTTCAGGGAATTCCGATGGGACTCCTCGAAGTAGCCCAGTGCGGCAATCCAGGGATATGCTCCTGCATCAAATAATTTAGAGAGCAATGAGTGAGTCTTTCCTTGAAGATTAGTACAAGAGTTTGCTTGCCTCTTCGTGCCTCCTGGCCACCCACCACGCGGTTCGACGTCGCTCCACTGATGCCGCAGGCCAACTGCTGTTGCGGAGGAGTCTGAGGTTGAGGTTGAGGTTGAGGCTGAAGTTGAGGCGGAGGCGGAGGCGGAGGTTGTGTGGGCGCTGGATAATTTGGACTGGGTCTAATCACCACTTGGCCTTGCATCAGCGGCGGTGTGGGCTGAAGCACAATTGGATTTCCGCTGCCGCCTGCTAGGGGAGAGAAATGAAAGACACCCGAGGATGCAGTTGTGGTCACCTGCAGATCCTTTCTGCTCCTGCCGTTTGACGAACGATCCGTGGCACAGCAGACCTGCAGGAGAGTCGTTAGATCAATCCATTGACTGGGAGTAGCTGCCTTTTGGCTTACCAAAAAAGTAGAGCCATCGAAGCCGCATATGGATCGACCCAGAAACGTCTGAAAGTCGTTGGACCCCGCCAACTGGCCCTCGCTTTGGTACTCCTCCACCAAGTGGGAGCAGGAGGTCAGAGGCAGACAGTTGCCTGGCCGAAAGCGAGCATCGTGGCAGGAGGTCTGGGCTGTAAGTACGAGCAGATCAGGACTGTGACAGGGACTGTGATGGGTTTGGGGGAATCTTTGAGTTCTTTTTAGTTTGCCAATTGATTTGAAGTTGTTTTTTCGCTTGTGATCGTTTGTGTTTATTATAAGTTTTGGTGATTCTTTGTGGGATAGGTTTGGGGGGAGGTGCGGGCGGATTGGGAGTGACTCTCAGAAGTAAATACGACGCCGTCGACGAAGAAGACGCCGCCGTCCCGCATTGAGCGGCATGAAAACCATCATATCCGAACCGACTAGACCGGTGGCGGCCACCAGGGGCGCATTCTGGCGAGGATCGATGCAGGGACAGTTCGGCAGCGGGCGCACGCCTCCGGGCAGGCACACCAATGGCTGCGGTGGACAGGTGGGCACGGGCAGAGTGGTTCCCGCGGTGCTAGTTGTCGTCACTCCCGTTGTGGTGGTGGTGGTCGCCAGAGTGGTAGATGTGGAGGTGCTGCTGCTCGTCGTGATCAGCGGTGGCGTGAACGGTGTCTGGGGGTTCGGTGGCGTTGGCTGGAATGTCGGTATCCCTGGAGGTGTGGGCGGAAGAGCAGGTGGAGGCGGTATTAGTGGACCAGTCGGTGGCAACGGAGGAAACGGAGGCGGTTGTGGCTGTGGCTGTGGCTGTGGCCACGTGTAGACGGGATAGTAACCTGGCGGATACAACGGACACCATCCCTTGATGCTGGCCAGGTACGAGAGGAACGGCCAGAAGTACACCTTCACACAGAACTCTTCCAGCAGTACCATTTTATGACTCTTCCAAGCCACGTATCCGTATCCGCAGGCGCGTCCGTGCTGCTTGGCCAGAAGTTGGCTACTGTGCCGCCAGTTGATGTTGGCCAAGAAGTGGACCGTGGTAATTCCCATAATGATTTTAATTCAATTATTTTGCCTGTTTGTGGAGCACAATTATCCAAAGAATCGTTGAATGGCCCCCCAAAACCATATATGACAGGAGCGGTTCAGCAGGGCAAAGTTTGGGCCCAAAATTGTAGCTATGGAATATTTGATGGGCATTTTCCAGATAGTTTTCTGCAGCAGTTTTATATATGATATAGAACTGTTAAATGTCATTTATCCTCTTCTTTTCGCTCTTTTATGGCCATACATTTTCATCTCGTCAACGAAATTCCCCCATAATTGCAATGCAAACGAATTCACACCGAAATGCATCGTTAATTCAGTGAGGGCATTAAAATATCTGGGCCACTGGCGCTTGACATCCGATAATAGCTCCCAGCCATCATTCCACTCATTCCATTCCGGGGCCGGGGTGGTCTGTTCTGTGACAATCATTGGGTGTTTCCACTTTTAGATGACGGACATTAAGGGGGGCCCAACAGATGGGCAATGGGATTTGATTGTATTGTTTATGTTGACACAAATTAAATGAAACTACACGATCACAACTCACTTTGATCTATTGGCACGATCTGGTTGTAGACAAGATACAATAATAATGATACAAAACTCACGTTGGATAGATGTAAAGAGGGAAAGTCCAAAAAGAACTAATAGAATTCTAGAAACTTGGTATTGTTGGGAGCCCCTGGTCGTAGGCATTGTTATTCTATGAACTTCACCGTCGAACTGAACTCGTGGGCCACTGGCACAACCGAACTTAAACCCTCATCCACTGGCGGTGGATTCAGTCTCATATTAAATGGGGCAATTTTCGAAATTAAACCCAGTTTAATTGGATGCATTACTTTTTTTCGGATCAAAAATTGTGATGAACTTGAAAAGGTGAAGGCAGGTGCAGGGCAGGTGACAAGGTGACAAGGTGATAATCGTGGTGAAGCACCCACCGAAAGGTCAAGGAATTACCCAACAGGGACTGCTGATCAGATAGAATCAACTTGTAGATGCGCTTATTTATTGATCTCCATCAATGAAGAGAGACGGATATCAAACGGAAATTCCATTAAATCTAAATGCCGACTACGACTACCCTCGATAACGTGTGTGTATAGTATATGGACATCGATATATATATGTGTAGTGTATATGTGTGGGTAAGTATGTGGCTGTGTGTGTGTGTTCTTCTCGGATCGGAGCTTCAGGATTGGAGCCTTCTCCTACTCGCGATGCTTGCAGTCGAGAAACAGCTGGGCCTGCGACTGCACAAAGCGGAAGATCTCGAGCAGCATTTCGTTGGAGGTTTTGCAGTTGCCCTGCTGCGGCTCAAAGAAGGAGCCCGAGCTGCCGCCACCAGCACCACCCACCGAACGCTTGCCCCAGTCGGGTGAGAATGTCAACTGAAAGGGGATACATATTAGTTTAGTTACCGGTGCTCATTAGCTGGATAGGATAACTTACTTGACCCTCGACACAGGCCAGCAGGAAGCAGAGCACAGCTGCGATGATGATGACTTCGCTCTTGGGATTCATTCTGTGTTGTGTGCTGGTTACAGAGTTCTCTGCTGCTTTTATAGCAGATCCAAGCCAGACAGGGAGTGGGTGCAGGTCCTGTAGCTAATTAGTGGAGCACTTGTAAGGTTTCTGATTAGATTTAAAGAGACGTCAATCAATCCTCCTCAGAGACGCATTGAAAAATTCGGCTACGTGGAAGCGTTTGTGATTCTCTCCAAGTTTTTATTAGAATTGCGCATATATTTAATATTAAATATATTCCATATACACATATATTTAAATATAGGCATTTATATATGTATATCATTAAATAAGTTCGTTAAATTAAGCGGTGTACAGAGTAACACGAGATTGCGGCTCGAAGAAAATACAATTTGGCGATAAAATGAAAACAAACAACACATACGAGTAGTTTAAGGACTTGCTTTGGGACATGTACAAAAATATGTTTACAATTATGGTTAAAAACGAGTGAGTCGGTGGCGGGGTGGGGTGAATTGTGCGCTTTATATAGTACAAAAGGAGCGAGTTGTGGGGGAATAGTGGCCAGGGGGAATATAGCATTTGTTTAGGCACTCAATTTTTGTCGGATTGTAAGCAATACATATATATTATGTGTATAAATATGTGCACGTGTACGCGTATATTAGTAGTAAATAACAATACAAATTACAATAACACATTATGACATTTTGGCTTAATCGAAACAAGCGTTCCAACGAATGACAATCAACGATCTTGGGGGATCTGTTTGTAAAAACAAATGGCCTTTTGCGTACCACAATTTCTGTAATAATCATAGAAAACATTCCGTCCTTAATTGTTGTCGTTGATCCAACAAATAATATTACAAAAATATATGTAGAAAATATATAATTATGTATATATATATATATGTATATATGTTATTCGCTTGTTTGTTTGTCTGTCTGCATCTGGCGTTGTACATAAATCGTTCTTGCGCGTGTTTATGTGTCGCTTGTAGACGCATACTTTGAGTTTCATTGTTCGATTCGTTCGCTTTTTTTGTTGGGCAGATAAGAAATGCACTTCGTTTCGGGGGCTGCCTTACTGGTTACGTGTTACAGGGTTACTTTTTGTTGGCTCTACTGATTACTGGGTTTCAGGTTTATCGTCTTCTCAACGGATCTTCTCATAGCTCAGTCGACGCGTGTTTAAAATTTGGTGTTATACTCGTTACATTGTTGTTGGTGTTGTTGCTGCATCCTTACATCATGCAGCACTTCCTCTTGCCCTTCTTTTTGTATCCCTCCTCGATGAAGGGTCGCTCGGCAATCTGGAATCCGCGCACAATCCGCACCAGCTCGTGGAAGGCCTGATCAACATTGACGCGCACCTTGGCACTGCACTCGATGTAGGGTATCATCAGGTTTCTGCTCGTGTTTTGGGCCTCCTCTAAGCCCACCTGCCGCTGGTGCTCCAGATCGCACTTGTTGCCGACCATCAACATGGGGAACTCGTCGCGATCTTTTACCCTCAATATCTGGCGCTGAAACTTTGGTATCTCATCGAAGCTGGAATGGTCGTTGAGCGAGAATACAAGCAGAAAGCCCTCACCGGAGCGCATATACTGCTCTCGCATGGCACTGAACTCCTCCTGGCCAGCCGTATCCAAAACTACAAACGGAAAATACATTATTTAATGCATCTTATGGATCGTTAAGGATCACTTACTGTCCAATTTGGCTGGCACATCGTCGATGACACATTGTTTCGTGTAGGAGTCCTCGATTGTAGGATCGTAGTCTGTGACAAAGTAGCTCTGCAAAGGTGGAGAGACGAAGATAAATTAGTTTACACACAGATTTAGATTTAGATAGACGCGCTTCTCGGTAGCCGTCCGATTTGTTTACACACAGAGACGAGACGCCACTTTTATCATCATCCCAAAAACATTCAAGGCAACAAAACGCACTAGTACGAGTGTGCTCTATATCTTGATGAAAATCTTCGGCCATGTATGCGTGGGATAGTACGTTGGAGGTGTCTTGGCTGCTTGTCTGCGTGTGCATACACGTATATCCGAAAGATGGAGATGACGCAAATAACTATAAATAAATTGAATCGGGCGCGCATTTCCACATACTAGATGATGGACGGACAAAGCGACCGTGGTCGTGACCATGTCAGGCCTCAGAACGCACCCAAACGAAGTGAACTGAGTTGAACCGACCCCAACCAGGCTTCTGTTCTGGGGGCACACCCATTAAGCGAGACTCCAACTTTCGGGGCATTGGCGTTGCGGTGACCCTAGCTAGGCCCCGTGGCTGTTTAGGGGGTGTGGCATCAACATCCGAGAGAGTTGGCTGCGGCGATGATCTTTGCTCGAAAATATGTAGCACACGCATTTCCAAACACAGACGAACATCATTATCAACATCATCATCGTCTATTCGCTTGTTGCTTTTGCCAAAACAAGGGCCCACTTGTCGCTCCGCACCTCCCCTCTGGCCTAACGATGAGCGACGACGTCAGCAATGTTTCGCTCCAGGGCCTTACCTGTATGAATTGTATCGTTATGGCTGACTTTCCAACGCCGCCGCCACCGACGACGACCAGCTTGTACGTTTGCATCTGCATTTTTCAATTATTTTCGACTCGAATCGCCAGCTAAAATCTTTTTATTTTCTTCCGCACGCGCCTATCGATAACAACGATACAAAAAACACCCGCGGCAGGCTCACGCTAGAGATGGGGTTATACGTTTTCTGTTTCGTGAGTTTCTTTGATAAAAGTAGTTGTGACTGCGAAAGATATTTTTAAAATTATATTTTATAATTATTATATTTATTATATATAATTATTTATAATGACATTAATTTACATATAAACTAACGTTTACAACATTTGGGTAATATGTTTTTCATTCTACAGCAAACAAACTGTTACTTGTTGTTACCTGTTACCTGTGACTCGTGAAAATCACGGCGCCAAGGTTGTTGTCAGACGCCGGCATTTGTCACGCCATTGCAAAATTGTGTTTACAAATTGCAAAATATAATTCAACGAAAAGATGCCTGAAGACCCAGAACCTGTTGTAACTGAAAAGCGGACGCATTTGCCGTGGATTGAAAAGTATCGACCCGCAAAGTTCAACGAGATCGTGGGCAACGAGGATACGGTGGCGCGTCTCTCCGTTTTCGCAACGCAGGGTAATGCACCCAACATAATTATAGCTGTAAGTACACGCATAGCCACCTGTTGGTTCTCTCGACTCACACACGAATGACTCCCGCAGGGTCCTCCTGGCGTTGGCAAGACCACGACCATTCAGTGCCTGGCCCGCATCCTTCTCGGAGACAGCTACAAGGAAGCTGTGCTAGAGTTGAATGCCTCGAACGAGCGCGGCATCGATGTGGTGCGAAACAAGATCAAGATGTTTGCCCAGCAAAAGGTGACGCTGCCCAAGGGCCGGCACAAGATCGTTATCTTGGATGAGGCAGACAGCATGACGGAGGGCGCACAGCAGGCGCTGCGTCGCACCATGGAGATCTACAGCAACACCACACGCTTCGCCCTGGCCTGCAACACCAGCGAGAAGATCATTGAGCCCATCCAGTCGCGCTGCGCTATGCTGCGATTCACCAAGCTCTCAGACGCCCAGGTGCTGGCCAAGCTGATCGAGGTGAGCAAGTGGGAGAATCTAACCTACGATGCAGAGGGTTTGGAGGCGATCGTCTTCACTGCCCAAGGTGACATGAGGCAGGGTCTCAACAATTTGCAGGCCACTGCCCAGGGATATGGAAACATTAGCATGGAGAACGTGTTCAAGGTGTGCGATGAGCCGCATCCCAAACTGCTGGAGGAAATGCTGCATCACTGTGCCGTAAATGACATCCACAAGGCCTACAAGATACTGGCCAAGCTGTGGAGTCTCGGCTACTCCCCGGAGGACATAATTGGCAACATATTCCGGGTCTGCAAGCGGCTCAACATCGACGAGCAGATGAAGCTGAACTTTATTCGAGAGATCGGCATCACGCACATGAAGATTGTCGATGGCATAAATTCCCTGTTACAGCTCACATCCCTGCTGGCCCGACTTTGCATTGTGTCTGAGTCGCACTAGTTCCAAAAGATGCCAATATTTATATAAAATTAATCTAAGAACAATGAATAATCATTTGGAAAGTTAACTTTTGAAAAATAATTGTTGCAACAACCAGAGCTGTGAACTCGTGACTTGTAGTCAATTCAGTCACTTGGAGATCTGAAAGCCTTTTATTTTCTATCTAACGGAAACGTTTTTGACATGAAAAACTAAATATGGTTTCAAAAACAAATAAATAATTGCAGGTGTAAAAATAATTTAAATACCAGAGCTGCAAACAAGCAACTTATCGATACATTAACATAGAGACGGGCAGACCATGACACGCGACCAACCGATAGTAGAAAGGTGATAGAAATGAAGATAACCAACTATCGATGGAAAGAATCGACAGTTTTGCAACACTAGCACTAGGAAATATGGCGAGTCTTGGGGGCCAACACGAAAATTATTCGAATAATCCAGAAGGTACGCATTTAAAATTGGCCAAACATATTCCCCATTAAAGGATAGGCCTGTGCGCGAAAACGGATAGTGAAAAACCCCCCCCGGAGAATCGCGTAATGAGGCGTTTCAAGCGTCTAAAAATTGTTGGTCGACTGCGCAGCACTCACACCAAAGCCAAAGCAAACGATGTGAAAAAACTAAGAAGCCAGAAGTAGAAGTGTTTGCCCCCCTCGTATGGGTGAAATTTTGCTGCCGTGTGTTCTATGTGCTTGTTGTGCCTTTCCCCCAAACCGACAACCGGAGTTTGAGTTATAAATAAGTTCATGTTTCCAGAGGAAAACAGTTTTCTGTCTCCCTGCCGCCGCTGCTGCTGATGTCGTCTCTGCCTCAACCATTGCCGTCGTCGCTTCGTCATCGTGTGGCCAGCAGCTGCGCTGCAGCTGAGGCGTTTGTTTGTGTGCGTTTGTCCGTCCTCTTCGTCCGCCCATCCGCCAAATGCGTGTTTTCTGGCTACAAGTGCAAAACACAGAAGCCAATTGATTTTCCTACCCATATTCCACTCGTTTCGTTTCTTCGTGTCTCCTTCGAGTAAGTGCCGTGCCATTGTTTGGGGAAATCGTGCGGAAAATTCGGGTATTGCAAGCAGTTGTAATGGGGGCCGAACGCCAAATGAGCTCCAATTCATCGAATCCTTTCTTTATTTTCAGTGGAACACACATCTAAACGAGCCGAAAGCCGCGAGGGCAGCGCCGAGCGAAAAGGTAAAGCTAATACTTAGTTTATCTCTCACTTGTTACATAAAATTGGCATAGACTTCATATAGACCACCTCGCACACACCACACACACCCATTTATCTCCATATATACAACAACTATAATCCACTCTCAGCACGTCCACATACTGGGCCGACAGCCCACGCACCCGCGCTCACATCCACCGCACCTGCCGCCGCCGCCACCAACATGCCAGCGGAGATCTCAAGCTGCAGCCCCGGCAACACTCTGCACTGGTTTGCTCAGGTGGGCGGCAGCAGCAACAACGAAGATGACTCTCAAGGTAGTTTACATTCCATCGAGGGGCTCTCCGTCTGCTTGTCGTCTGCCTTTCCCGTTTCTCCTGTCTGAAGCATGATCTCACTAACAAACAGACCCCCAGAGACAACTCCTCCTTATCTTGGCATGAAAATCCACTCCCAAAATATTTCACTGCGACCTTGTCCGCTGATAAGTGTTCCCCCAGCTCTGACCTTCCATTGGGGCTAAGATTGAATTGCAGTGCATTTGGCTCTTTATTCTTACTGGTAATTACGTCATGGAATTCCAATAATATCTGCCAGTCGATAAGGCGATAAGGCCGACTGTTCTTTCGCAAATAATAGTCGATTATGGGGCGAGTATCTGCCTGGAATTGGCACTGGAAGTTGGAACTTTCATTCCTGCTTGCTAACAATAATCTTTGCTCGATTTTGTCGCCTCTGCGCCTCAATGTCATTTTAATATATCACAGAAATGTGCGCTTTACAGTTTCAGTTTTTCTTTCCTTCTCATTTGTTGCCTTTTTTGCACATTTGCGAATATCAGGGGTGGAATGGGGGCCGGGCCTGCGGGGGTGTATGATTCGTCTCGTGTTCGTGTGCGTGCCATTTGTTATTGTATGTTGTATGTGTAGTGTAATGTAGTCCCATTCCATGTGAGCTTGTCAATTGACCCACAAAAGCCAGCCAGCCAGCGCACAGCGTCAATGACGTCACGTTCCCCTTGTAAATAATTCACCGGCAACGAATGCCAAAAACAAAGAAAAAAACAAAATCGAAAAGAGAACAAGATTTGCTTTTCTGATTTTATTGATTTCTGGACACAGGTAGCACATCTCCAGTTTTTATTTGCCTGCCAACTCCCATTTGTTTGTTCAATTGTATGTTCAAAATTCATCAGCACCTAAAAATATAGCAAACTTAATAATTAATCCGAACTTTTCTTAGTGTCCAAAGATCGAGAGGAGAAGCTAAAATATGCACGCGACCGCCAGAATGAGGAGAGACAGAAAAAGATCGAGGAGCTGAGGGCCCAGGCAGAGGCGGCCCAAAGGTATCGCGAACAAAAAGAGGAGGAACGCCGGCGACGCATCGAGGACATGCGTGTCCGTGACACAGAGAAGCGCCACCAGGTGGAGGAGCGCAAGAAGGCCATCATTGAGGCCGAGAAGGAGCGTCGCGAGTACATACTTAAGAAGAATCAGGTGGGTCTCGCTCTCTGTTTTTTGCCCAAAATAATGCCTAATTGATTTTTGATCCCACAGGAACGTGAATCCAGAATAGAAGTTAAGAAAAGGGACAGAAACTCAATTGGGTTTGCTTTTGGCTCGTCGACGCCCCGTCTTTTGGATGTGCCTGCGGATTATGGTCTGGTATCGCCCAGTGCCTTTTGGGGTCAGCGCAGGTAAGGTTGTGGGAGTGCCGAAGTGCCCAAGTGAAACTACGCTGTGGCAAAATGAAAGCGAAGATCATTATCTAATTCCGAACATGGCAAAGCGAGAGTTCTAGTGTGCTAATATGTACAATTGCATTCCTTTTAGGTCTACATCGATATCGAACGTAGCGGGCGCCTCGCTTACACGTCGAAGTTCCGAGCGAGAACTTGCCGACAGTGGTGCTAAGAAGCGTGCCTCCTCCTCCACGGACAGACACGATGGTGAGTCACAAAACGGTGCCGTGCCACGCGAACGGTGCTGCCCCCCAGCAAATGACACACAAACACACACCCTCGGAACACTCTAGAGACCCCAAACACACACAAACCACACACACCACACACCCAAAACCCAAAACCACACACACATAATGAGATTACATTTTATTTTGCAGTTATTGTTATTTCTTACCTTAGAACCAATTGGTACAAGCTCTCAGTGTGTGATGATCCCCACTTAAAACTAGATATTTCCATAATCTATCCAAGTTATCGATTATGCATCACTGTACCAACCTCCCCCCAGACCTTGTACATGTGATACACCCCAGCCCAAAAGAATTTTAACACCCGGCACGATCACCTTTTATTTTTAAATCTTTTTTGTTTTCGAATACTCTTCCTACTCGTATGATTTGCACCTAAAAGCAACAACAGTTTTCACACACCTCTGTAACGATCACTTTTCTCTCTGTAACAAAAACAAAACAAAAACCGACAAAATCATCATCAGATCATCGCCGAAAGTCTTCGTCCATGTATGAGGTGTTCAATTGGGGCTATTCCAATGATGAGCCGCCTAAGCGGTTCTCCCTGTCCATAGCCAGTGGCGTTATCAATATCGATGGTCCTGGTCCGGCCACTAGCAAACAAACAGCGCACAGACCCCATATGACAACAACAACAGCAACAAGCACCACAGCTGCAACAAGCCACAACAACAACAACAACTACAACAGCTTCCATAACTCGTATCGTAAGGGTGAGGGTTTCTACTACTCTTCTCAAGCTCTTGTTCCCCCTGCTCTCTCCCGTTTTTAACCCACGTTCATGTTTCGTGTTCTCCAATTATTGTTTTTTTTTTTTTTGCCCTAACCCTAACCCCGAATAACGAATAACCCCGCCGTAATCTCGTAACTCTTTGTCTCTCCTCCTCCCCTCTGTAACCGTGGCATGCGTTTGCGCCTAAGTTTTGCATGATGTATAAAAGCTCCTCCAATAATTCCTAATTGTGTACAGAAATCACACACCCGCTCGTTCCTTGCCTAGTACTCCTCTCTGTGCTGCAGCTCTAACACTCAGAGAGAGAGAGAGAGAGAGAAGCAGCGGCAGCAGCATTAGCCTTAGCATTTGCCCTCTAAAATGATCTTTCAACGTATTTAGATATTTCTCAGCATGGTTGTTTCCTTATGGGAAAGCGTATACACAAGGTTGAACTTTGAAGTGGAATAGAAGGTTTCTTGACTTGAAGAAGAACTTTCTTCGCATATTTGCCCATACAATAATCATCTCTAATGGATCATCAACCATCAGTTAAGTTCGCAGTGTAAACGCTTTCTCTTTGCGCTATTTTTGCCTACTTTTGATTTCTCTTGTTGATAGCATATAAGTTTTGTTGTCAGTAAGAGCAGAAACTTGAAAACCGTTGTATCCAAAAACCAAAACCCACAAACAAACAAAATATTACAGAAGATAGCGTTGACACATCACCCATCGTGTTCCGAAGCGTTTACCGCAGGAAAACGGACCTCATGCCGACAATACCCAGCCCCCGAGACGGGCATTATGGTTCGCGCAGCTCCCTGAGCACCACGCCAGCCAGAACCCCAGGTAAGACTGACCCAGCGATCGATCGATCATTGCAAACCCACATACTCTACACATACATACTACATACTCATCCCAGCGATCAGCCTCCTCATTGTCCAGCTACTCATCATATGATCAGCCTCATTCGGTTAGCCCATTGCGTAGGTGCCAGATTCCCCAATGGTCCAGTTCCCTCCCACCCCCGCGACTGTATGTTATTGGGTTCTTGCTTAGTCTGAGAAGGGATATGATATGCATTATGTATATGGAAAGAGAGAAGAAGGGAAGCCTGCACATGCTGTTGAGGCACCTACACGTACACCAAAACACCAACACACACACACACACGAAGTTTTCTC